TCTTGTATCATTGTCAATGATGAGCACATAATGGAAATTCCTTCTCCAACAACTACGGTATTGTCAGTTGGCAGTGCACGCCTTGGTTCGGCTTCCTCTACACTATCTCCGTATAGAGACAACCAAGACAGGTTGAATAAACACATATCTAACTTTAAGAAGAGGAAACCTTCGTATTTCAGTGAAACGCTTCCTACGATCACCGCTGAAATTGGAGATAGATAACCTGCAAATGGATAGAACACGGGGTATCGAATTCCCGAAAACATTATTAAACTCCCGTATGTAAATAGGGAGAGAATAGCTTTTAGATCTATAACTAGATCGGAGAGTTCAGACTCTTGAATCTAGAACTAAATCGAGAGAAAAAAACTCCTAGATCTAGCTCCCAATCTAGTTCGGAAGAAATGAAAAAATAAGAAAAGAACAAGAAACAGTACGAGAATGTAATTGTGCCAATTAAATTATAAACCTTTTGACGATTTACAATGTGATTATTCCGGTCAATTTGGCTGGAAATCGCTAATATAGGCATAAGATGGTTGATGTTGGCATGGACAATTTTTGCAAATTTTAAAAGAAAATTTCCTAAATTTCTTTTTTTTTCTTGTTCTTTTTGTCCTATTTGCCTTCAAGGATCCTCAGTGATGACCACCCTTACCGAATCTGGTGAAAGCTCAACCCTCGCCGTTTAGGTGAGGGCCACCCTCACGGCCTTTGGTCTCATCGAATCCAGCAAGGGCTGCGACGCCTTTGCTCAAGCGAGCCTTTACCAGATCTAGCGAGTGTGGCCCTCGCCAGCCACTACGGGAAAAAAAGAAGAAAAAATAAAAAAAATTACCAACGTCAGCGTTGGCCTTGTCACATTAATGCTAGCGATTTCCAATCAAAATTTGCCAAAAGAACTATATTAACTAAATTGACCAAATAAAAAGGTTTTGAATTGAATTGACACCCGTACAATAGGTTTATAACTTTTTTGATGATTTCTTTTGGCTCTGTTAGGATTTCTTCTAGCGCGGCAATCTCTAATTGCTTACATCGTACACACTGAAATCGAATTTCTCTGCCGTCTTCACCGTTGAAATCGGCAAGATGTCCTCTACATTCCATGACATTTGATTTTTATGTGAATCTCAGAAATTACAATTTTGTTGCAACGTTTTGAGATACTTTGTGACTCAACTAAATTGATTTGATTGAAAGGGCGCATAATATTTCGAAATCATGTAAGATATTAGAAATTTATTTTCGTTGAGTTGAGTAATTTTATATTGAAATTTCCTAAATTAGATTTAAAATTTATTGTCTCGAGAAAATTATCACTTCCGGATTACTGGGGCATGCTAAAGTATTTCCGGCCTTTTATATTTTAATAATTAAGTAGTCCCAAGGACAGAAAGTTGGGTTTTCGGGGACAATTTCGTAATTCCGCTGATGCGGGCGGCTTTATGGAGGGGAGAGGAAGATTCAGGGATTTTGCGTCAATATTACTCTTTTGATTAGCATTTTTAATTGAATTTTAGGGACCAAGGGAAATTCGCGGCTATGATTAATTGCGTCGTGACACGATGGATGACAGAGATAAAGCGACTTTTATCACTTTTATGGTTTCTAAAGAACCCATGATGTATATTTGATAAAAGTTGGTTACCTCCCGGTAAAAAACCAGGGACCTGTCTTGAATCCTCGGTGAGGTTTACCAGGTTATCTCACCAAAGCACGGGAAAGCTTTAGCTTCAAATTGGGGCCGCTTTCCCTGTCCAAATGTATATATTTGGTGGGCTGATAAGATTACGTTTCTTATTTTGACGTGCCGGTAAAAAGCTAGGGGCTTGCCTTGAATCATTAGTGGATTTACTGGGTTACCCCATCAAAACAGGGGAAGGCTAAGCTTCCAACTAGGCCATCCCGCATGTTCAGGTGTATACACCTGGCGGGCTGACGTGCCGATACCCGGACGCTCAACCCCCTAATTTTCCCGTGTATCTTTGTCTTTCTCAGGAGGAGGGAATACCCCTAGTTGTTTTATGTTCAAGAGATGCCGAGGTCCGCATCTATAGCATGACATGTATTTAACTAAAAGTATAAATATCATATACTTCACAACATGCTATTTCAAAAAATGGACAAAGCAACGGTTATGTTCCAATGCGCCTGGATTTTCGGATCGATGAATTGAATTACGGATTATACATCATTTAGAATTATACTTGACGTCAACTTACGTGATAATTACACACTATCCAAGTGAAAACGAAATTCATAATTGTGTAAGACCAGTACTGCTTGGGGACCCAATCACAACCGATAAGATTTTCGGGGGTTTGGTCGCGATCATCATGATTTTTTCGAGCTTAACTAGCGGGATAGGGTTTACGGGCCTTGTCCCTAGACGAACTGTGATGGCAGGATTTACTTGACACGATCAGTTGGATTTCGGATAAATTCGTATCATAAATGCATGCACGTGGAGTTATATTGTTGGTTGTTTTGTGCATTGAATGACATTGTTCCACATTTGATAGATTGCATTATTAATTGCTTGGTCCCAGCCGTGGTTTTGCTTGCCCCTCCTTTTAGCTTTCCAGGTTCCGAGGCTATTTGCGAATTCGCTAAGAACGAGAGCATGCGGGGAATTGTTTGCGGATTTGAGGTTGGAGATTTGTGCTTTCTAATTGGGTTGGAGATTGTCGATTATTCGGAGCTTTCAAACGTTCAAATTTGAAAATTTCATAAAGAAAAAGAGAAATAGTTAAGTACGCGTACACTTACTTACACAAGATAAACTATACAAGGCATGCTGTACCCTTTTGACAGGGTATTTTCCGCTGGGTGCATGGTAGAAGATAGCATGACCTAAAACCTTTGAACCTTAAATTGGAACTAGCGAGTTTTAATACTCACCCCAGGAACCAGTTTGACCATGCCGATGCTGGTTGACTGGAAGATCATCTAGATGATGAATCTCAGCCGTTGGACGGTAATAATAAAATAGGAGATTGTTATACCTCAGAAGTTTGCCTATATAGCAAAGGTTATGGTCCCCCCCGGGAATATATAATCTTCAAATGAAACACAATCCGACTTATGAGCGAAAAAAACTCTCCGCACGAGCTACTTATTGTATTGTCCCTCGCCTACTTGGTCTCTTGTCTAATACTAGGATGTTGGTGTAGTCACCTAATTTCCATTAAATTTAGCATGATTAGTTGGAAGTGGAGACCTGCTCGAGGGTCGTGTTCGGCTTAAGCTTCGTCATAAGAAAAGCTAATCGCATATGTTAATCCTATGCTGTGGGAGATTGACCTATCGAAAGTACTCATTCATGGTAGAAACCCTCGCACAACATTCGCTCTTCATTTTGCTTTCTCTCGCTTTGAAACAAGGGGCGGAAAGGAAGGCCAACAAAGGGGAAGGGGATTCCAAGTTCCAACACGAACTCCTTTTCAGCTGAACATCTGCAAGAACCAAAAGGTCGAGGGACAGGGTGTGTCCAAAAGCTCGATTTCCTCCTCCCTCTCCCCGAGTGGCCGAAACGCAAAAGAGCGCACGCCCCCATTGGATTCCTCACGAGCCGCATCTGTGCGTGTGGGGGAAACCCTACCTAATCCTCCCCCACTCCCCAGGATATCAGACGGTCCCACCCCCTACGACCCCCCCATATTGTTCGTGTAATAAAGAACAGGGGACGACCATCCCCATTGTGTTTTTTGACTCGGCGTCCCCACATTTTTCACACAGCGACCCTCTTCGGTTCTTTGGCTCTGAGAGTACTTTCTTGGTCTCTGCTGCTCCCTACCCCCCTCTCTCTCTCTCTCGCGGCCGGCCACTCTCCGGCCACTTTCCGGCCACATTGCCGTCCGTTTTCTGAAAAAGATCCCGTTTTCTGAAGCCCCTTTAGCTTATCTTTTCCACCCACATTTCTGTCCCCAGAATCTTTTTTCCTCTTTTCGTGTTTCGGTCGAGAGAGAGGGAGCGCTTTGTTTCCTGGGTTCCTTTTTCTTGACCCAGTTGTTGGTCGGGGCTCCGTTGCCCTATACTCAGGTCAGGCCCTTGCGCTCTTGACTCGCCTTTTGCATTTGCGCTTTTGAGTTGGGTGAATATCTAGTCAGCTTTCGTCTTGTAGCCGCCGATTGTTGTGGCTTGGTTGCTGTTGTTCTTCATGTTTCTTCCTCCTCACAGTCTCTGTCGGGTGTCTTGAAGATGAGCTGTTGAAACGTTTCAGTGGTCTCGACCTCGTGATCTTCGTGCGCAGGAGTAAGATCCCAATGTCGATGGGGTCGCTTCGATTCTTGACTTTTGATCCTGTGCATGTTGCTGGGTTATCACGTTTTCTACTTATCCCTCTAGAAATCTTGGTTGTCAACAGTCTCCCCGTCAACAGTCTATCTTCTGTAGCATGAAAGTGACGGCATTACGCAAGGGAGTAGCTGGTTTTGCACTGATTGGGACCCCTTGTTGTGCTTGATTTTCAACTCGAATCCCTTATTTTTTTGTCTAGGTTTCTATTAAAAAAATTGCCCCTTTTCAACCTCCACATGTCACCAATGCTGTAACCCTTTTGTGTTTTGTGAGCTCGTCTCCCTTATTGTTCCATTGGATTCAAGTCTTTGATGATTAAGTGGAGCCCTATGCCTGTTTACTTACATAGGGCCAGGCTATGTAGTCCAAGATGGCTTCTTGATTCTGGGTGCTGATTTTGACTGCCTTTTCAGGTACCGAACGTCGACGACTGGATTTTCCCGTTGAACTGTGTTCGCTTCACCTTGAAACCGCCATGGGATTCTTCAAATTCGGTTGATTTCACCTAATTATCTTTGAAATGTGCTCCTACGTCGGAGAAATTCCTTGTTGATTTGCTGTGGTCGGAAGATGCCGTTTTCTTGGAATTATTGTTGGCTACCATCTGCATTACGGTTGCTTTGACAATTTTGAGGTTTGTCATCATCTTGCCTAATTCTACATGATTACTCTCTGACTGGTGCTTGTCACTTCGGAATGTGCTCCTACGTCGGAGAAATTCCTTGTTGATTTGCTGTGGTCGGAAGATGCCGTTTTCTTGGAATTATTGTTGGCTACCATCTGCATTACGGTTGCTTTGACAATTTTGAGGTTTGTCATCATCTTGCCTAATTCTACATGATTACTCTCTGACTGGTGCTTGTCACTTCGGCTTATCCTGAAGCTTTAGTTGTGGGGCCGTTTGGTACATGTATGTACCTTCTTCTCAAATCTTAGCATCTAAGTATGGTTAAACAGGTTGAGTTTTGGTATTTGTGGATTTACCTCTCCATTGGGTTCCTGCTACCTTCGACTGTGGTTTCAGAGGTTCCCTTAGGTTCAAAACTTTCTGTTGAAGATAATAACTTCTGGGTCTCCTCCAATGGGGATTTCGCACTTGGGTTTTATAACAGCTCACCTCAGTCATTTCAGTATAGCGTCGGCATCCGTTTCAATTCGAAATCTATTCCTGCTTATGAGCAAAAGGTGGTTTGGGCTGCTGGAGCTGACATCATGGTTGGAAACAAGTCTTATTTTCAGCTCACCCAAGATGGAGAACTCATCCTGTTTGATTCCTCGGTAAGCACCATCGCTTGGAGCAGTAAAACAAGTCAATTGGCGGTAGTTTCGGCCGTTCTACATGATAACGGCAATTTTGTCCTTCTCAATGACAAGGGGGACAGAGTTTGGCAGAGTTTTGACAGTCCATCTAACACACTTCTCCCAGGGCAGACATTATCGGTCTTTGAAACACTCAGAGCACAGAAGGTGAATTCAATGTCTAGTTACTACAGCCTCTATATGAATGAGTCTGGTCAGTTACAACTGAGATGGGAGTCTGATATCAAATATTGGACTTTTGGAAGCGTTTCGAATTCAAATGTTAGTGCTGTCCTCATGGCTAATGGAGCTCTGCTGCTTCTAAATGAGTATTCAAGGCCTATTTTTTCTCTTTTCGGGGAAGATCACAGTGAGACCGTGAAATTTCGATTTCTCAGGCTAGATACTGATGGTAATCTACGTATGTACTCATGGAGAGAAGCTTCAGCCGCTTGGATATCAGTCTGGCAAGCGGTTGATAATCAATGCAATGTATTTGCAACTTGTGGGGATTATGGAATATGCTTTTTCAACAGTTCAGGCTTACCTGATTGTGTGTGCCCATTTAAGTCTGGTTCCGCGACTTACCCGAAATGTCTGCTTCCGAATCAGCAGGGATGCAAATCTGGTTCTATCATGCTTTCTTATGAGCATACTTTTCTTCATGGGATGTATCCAGTGAATGATTCAGTTGTCCTAAGTAGTCTACAGCAATGCAAAGATTTGTGCCTGAAGGACCCACTCTGTACAGCTGCAACATTTACTAACGATGGATCGGCAGAATGCCTAGTCAAGACCTCTCGTTATATCACTGGTTATACGGACCCATCTTTAAGTTCGATATCTTTTGTTAAGAAGTGTTTGGACCCAATTGCCGTTGACCCAATTCGTCCGAGACCGTCTCCGGCGCCTATCCCTGTCAACAAATCTTATAGGCTTTGCATTCCTTGTCTTGCCGGAGCTGCATCTGGAACATTCGTTACAGTTCTTGCAATTCAGTTGGCTGTCGGGTTCTATATTTATAAAAGGCGTAACTGGATTTGGAAGAAACCCGCATTGGCCTATAAAGATCCTTACTCAAAGAGCTTGCTTGTGTTTTCATTCATGGAGATTGAAGAACTCACTGGAAACTTTAAGCATCAGATTGGGCCGAAGATGTACAAAGGCATGCTCCCAAATAGGCAGCCTGTTGCAATTAAAGACGTGGAGGCAACTGTGGCTGAGAGGAAGTTTAGAGCTGCAGTCTTGAGAGTGGGAAGCATTCATCACAAAAATCTCATAAAGTTGGAGGGCTATTGTTGCGAGTCTATTCACAGGTACTTGGTCTACGAATATGCTAAAAATGGCTCTTTGGAGAAGTACATCGAAGACCCTGAGCTGAGTAAGAGATTAACTTGGAAGAAGAGAATGGAAGTGTCTTTGAGCGTGGCAAAGGCACTGTCTTATTTGCACTTAGAATGTAGAGACTTTATAAGTCACGGGAACTTGAAATGTGAAAACATTGTGCTGGACGAGAATCTAGATGCCAAGGTCTCTGAGTTTGGGCTCTCAATAATTCACAGTGAAGCACTAAGCCCTGACATATCGGCCGAGAGTGATGCGGAGGATTTTGGGAAGCTGGTGGTTGCTTTGGTCAGCGGATGTCGAGATCACAAGAGCGTGAGTGAGTGGGCTTACAATGAAATGATGGTTGGGCAGGTAGAGAAGGTGGTAGATAAAAGAATAAAGAGCGAGGTTAGCTTAGAAGAGTTGAACCGGGTCATGAGGATTGCATTTTGGTGTTTACAAAGCGATGAACGGTTGAGACCATCAATGGGGGAGGTTGTTAAGGTGTTGGAGGGTACTTTGACGGTTGACCTCCCACCACCTCCTTTTTCTCACGAGAGGCCATTGCAGGAAGAAGAATCTTCCAGGTCTGGCTCAGAGTCATAGAAATTTGTTGCCTCTGAAGTTTTTTCCCTTCTTGCTTCTCTTTTTTGTGGTAGGATTGACTAAGCTTTTCAGCTGGAATTAGGCCTCTGATTGACTTGCCCTTGTTGGGTGTATAAGATCTTTGTATAAAGCAAATGTGCTGATATCTCTTCTCAAGTTCAGCAATTGTAAAATCTCTCTCTCTCTCTCTCTCTCTCTCTCTCTCTCTCTCTCTCCACACGCGCATGCGTGCATTTGTGGATGTGTTTTATATGAACTGTCACTCTCATGTCACTGCTTCGTTTTTTCTTGGTATTGATGGTGCTGCTGCTCCATCTGTTCCATAGATAAGATAGATGAAGCAATGGTTTAAAAAAAAAATAGTACTGGAACCCGGTAGTGTGCAGAACCTGAGAATGTTCGATCAATTACGTACGAATCAATATTCGATTTCTTGATGCATCATCAGGTGGAGTCTTTGAGAAACTTAGTCCTGATTGGCATAATTTTCTTTTTGTGTACGTTTTAAACAAGGACTTCTTTACATTTAGCTGTGACTAAACCGGACGATGATGTCTCAGTATGAAGATGCACTCTTTCATCTGGTTTCATGTCCCCTCGTTACCAGCTGACGTTTCCTGACTTTGCCCTGCATGACAGGAACCAGATAAAAAGTAAGAACTAATCATAAAAGAACAGCTTTTTGTAAGGCACTTCGGCTGCAGATACTAACTTATGTATGATCACTATCTGATCATGATCGATAATATTAAAACCCGCAAAAGAAAAGCTGTGACAATGCGTGAAACGAATTTTCGTGGAAAGAGTACATTTTTCATACTGGTATTATGTCACAAATGATGGGATTATTCTGAAAAGTTGCTTCTCTCTTATCTAGATTTGGTGGAGTTTTGAATGAGTCTTTACTCAGCTAGTTAGTGGAAGCAGTTAGCTGCTGCTGTAGGGTTCTCTTGGGTTTTACTTTGAGAGAACGAAGAAACTTTCCCAAATATTCAAACAGATAAAAACAGAGGTTCTTTGGATTGTTGTTGTCGCCAGGTTCCAACACTTTCAAGCAGTCGTGGTTGAAAACACTAAAATGGCGCTTCTTTCTTAGGTCACACTCTTTATTTGGCCCAAAAGTTAAACTAGAATCCATGAATGATCCAACTGTTCCACGAGACGAGCGACTCTATATTAGCCATTTGCGTTCCTTTCGTGTTAAATTCTAAAATTGCGGTCCTCCGACTGATTCATCATTTCACATTTATCGCTAAAAGCAGAGCAACGCTTGAGAGCTTCTCATTAATGGCACCTCCTGGCAAAACCACAGATGTCCCGCTAATGGATTGTTGTACACCGAGAGCCGAAAAGTTCAGAATACCGGAGATCTTGTCTTGTCCGCCAGCTCCAATGAAGAAGAGGAGGGCGTTGTCGGCTCCGAATGGCTCGTTGAGAAAATCTCCTACAACCTTCTTCACTCACCCTGATATAGACATGTTCTTCCTCTTTGCATTCCGTAATGTATAGACATAATCTGCCCTTTTCTGGATATTTTGATTCCTTTCGGTTTGTTAGGAGGCGACTGAAACTTCAAGTCTGCAATTAGGTACTCAACACGAAGATTGGGCCATAGACAGCACCGAAAATGCACACTGCGAGATTAGGCCGGATGAGAGTAGTTCTTGGTAGTTTTGTAGGGTTGATTGATATGGTTCTGCTTCTGCTAGCGTGGGTTGCTGAGAGTTATGGGTTCCAGCGTTTGCTTCAGCGCCTGCAAGTCTGATTCTTCTTAACTGGTTGGTGAATCTCCGCAAACTTTTCTTCCTGCTTAAATTTTTACCGGAACATACACGAGCGAGTGGAAGCAAGAGGTTTGAACAACGTATGCATGCACCGAGTAAACTTCCATGTCTATTTGATCTTCTCTGTCTCTATTTCTTGGCTTTGTCAACTCTATTAGGCAGTTCATGATGGGTTGAATGACTCTTTAGTAAATAAGCTAAGTAGCAGATGATTTTCATTCTTGTAGATCTTTGCTTAGTTTCTTAATAGCTTTGGGTGGGGGTGTGGAGATGCTTAGAGTTTGCAAATCATAAACTCCTGATTTGCTTTCATGGGAGGCCTATGTCTACGCGTTCATGGAAGGAAGTTTGACACAGGGATGATCACAGAAAGCGAGACATCGATCTCTAGAAAATTCTATGGTCGAAAATAAAGTTGATACCTTTTCAGTTAAATTTGGCATTTCGGGTGTAAAATACGATCAGGGTAGAATTACCTCGTTCTTCGGACGATTAGGACTTCGTGTTTATTGGAGAAGTAGTAAATCATTTGAGGGAAAAAAATCTACTGAGATTTTCCTGCGAATCGTTCGAAGCTTTGCAATTCTTTATCTGCGGAAATCACGCGCCGTGCAGGGGTCGAATGATCGGCCACAATCGGACCTAATCAATGGATTGGCTGGACAGGCCTTGATCATCTTCCTTGGGGGGCGTCCCGTCGAGCACGGATGGGGCAAGCCCATGAACAGAAAACCTGACCCGTGCCCGTCTACATGCACTTGGTGCCTGAACACTGGGCAATCTCTCGGAAGGTTTTGGAGGGGGGGTCTTACATGGTCCGTGGAGAGGACCAATTCCGCTCAGTTTTAACGGGTCGGAATTACGTTCACGTGCCTCTTATACACGACTCCTACGCAGCATGTGGTGTCCCACGAAACTTTAAGAAATGTATAAGATCAAACGGGGCTCCTCTCATTCGATCCGACCATCGCCGCATGCTCTGGGAGAACCAATTCGCAAAAGGATTCGTGGGAACCCTCGCCGCTCTGGTAGGACACGTACTGTCTACGAGGTTCGGAAGCAGTCAAGCGGGCAGGATTAGTACTGCAACTCAAAGTTGCCACCTTTCGTGGTCCAAACCTGCAGCCTGCAGCCTGCAGCTGTGTGGAGCAAGAGTCCGAAGCACCGGACGATGCTCAAAACTGTAGAATCAACGGTCGTCGCTCGTGGCTCGAGGGGGGGGGACGTGGTCCGCCGCCGGGACCCGCTCCTTTACCACCCCTTTTTCCCAAAGCTTCTACGAATAATCCGCGTGGAGCGATCGCCGTCGCCGCTCCCGGCTCGGGGGGGGACACGTGGGTGGGCTGCGCGGTCGCCGCCGCGAGATCCGCGCGTGGCCTGTCCCCCCCGCCCGGTACGAAAGGACAAGCCCTGTCACCTAACGCCACGACAGCCTAACGGCGCCGTCGCCGTTAACTCGCGGTAGCTCGCGGGATCGGGCACCACGTGTCCCGGCCTCGTGCCGTGTAGGGGCGGGGGGGGGGCCCACATGTCCTTGTAGTCGAACGTTCCACGCCGGGGACACGTGGGGGGGGGGGGGGGGGGGGACATGATGCGGGAACAGTACACGGCTGCTTTCGAAGTTGGCCGATTTATTAAGAAAAAACGGATTTTTCTTGATTGATCGAGGTTGGGTTGACGCTAATCAGCGTGATTAACAGTTTAATTATGATGTATCGGGACAGGTTTAACCCCCACCTTCCCCTCCTGCTGGGTGCTAATGACCTCATTAGTTTCTCTTTCTTGGCCACCTGTTTTGAGACATGATGCTCTGTGACGAATCAATCATTCACAAAATTAAAAAAAAAAAATAAAGATCTTTCAATATAATATTTGATTTTTTTTAAATTAGACATAAGATTATGGACTTAGCGGCTCGCTAAGCTCACGTAAAATTGAATCCCAATAGAGTGCGGAATGGGCAACAACGAGCAAGCTTTTCTTTTCTTACGTGACGACTCTCGATTAACTCAATCGAGGTATTATCCATTTTGGCCCGTCTTATGCCGAAGTGAGCACATTCCTAAGAGTACTTCCATCCAAATACGCTTAGTTTTTGAGTTCCAAAACTCAGTATTGCCGTTATATCAAAGGACGCGATTGTAAATTAATTTCAATTTTCACATATAAATTGCTCTCCCTCTATACGTTGCATAGTTCGACTCGTTCTTGCATTCTTCGCACATCTTTGAAGCTTGCTAGTAGCTAATGCTTGTCCATACCCTTTGCCCGGCGATCACTCTCCACCCTCATTAGATCAGGTTATTACATCTTGAGCTCGAGCTGCCCAACTTGCCAATCCATATTTGATTCGACTTTCTATTATAGAAAAGATAGTGATCGGCACTCATTCATTGATAGGATCGATTCAATACCATACACCTAATCATGATCTTGTTTGTGATGCATGTTCAAAATGCTCAATTGATCTGTCACACAACATCTAATATGAGTGCGGAACGAAAGCTTACTAAGCCTTATCTCAGGATCAAAAGAAAAAGAAAAAGAAAAAGAAAAAGAAAGTCTTCTCTCTGATAATCAGGCAATGACCCAATTAACGATGAGTGTCAGGTCGAGGAGCCGTCGTAAGAAGCATAAAAACGAAAATCTAAAGAGCTAAGTAGTGGTAATTCGAAGGATTTCCAGATCGGAAAAACTCCAATTTCATCTGTCTTGTCATTTCCATGAATAGCAAATGAGCGCCAGAGATTCAAATGGGCATGCACAACATCACCATCATCATCACTAAAGAGCTTCTTCAAGGCAATCAATGAATTGATGCACTGCCCATATGAACATAGTAGCTCGTGAACATTGTGTCCGCACCGCTATGATCTAAGAAAGGCAGGTAGCCCAACTTCACAAACCACTCATATCTAGTCAAAATCCCCTCCACAAGTAACCGACTTGATTACAACACTAATCAATTTTTTTTACCAAAGGAGCCCATTTTCTTTAACTTGCCATCGTTGAATCCAAGAACACGAATTGCACGGATTTCGGCCTATAAAATCACATGTAATTGACTTATACCACCCTCGACAAAGGTCCGCTAGCGTTAGGGTGGGTTAGACTATATGCATGGGAAATTGACTTATAACCATTTTAATTAGGGTTAAAACCACGAAAAATCTCAAATTGATATATTTGCGATAAATTTACCCTCACAAAAAATCATAAACTGATAAATCCGTGACAAGTTTAACCCAAACCGATATGGATTTCCATGTGAACTTTTTATGAGTTATCTAGTCCAACAATTTCACGGTAAAATTTGACAGAAGTTATCGGAGAGCCAATATGCCTTGAGCGTACCGATTTAGGGTTTTTAATAAATTTATCATAGGTGTGCCAGTTTAGGGTTTTTCGCGGTATTAACCCTTTTAATTATTCAGGACCCCCATAAAATCTCAACGATTTTCTTTTCTTTTTCTTATTTCTTTTTAAAAAATTCAGCTGATTTTCTTCGGTCGTCAAGAAACGATCAGACACGCTTCGCTTTCATCTTCCCGTGAACGCCACGGAAGAGAGATGGATAGGCGCGCGCAATTTCTTACATTATTTATTAATGACGTCACCGAAGAGAGAAGATCACGTCAGATGCACCCGCCGATGACGGAGGAGGGCTTGGCCCCTCCGGGGAAGCAAAAGGACACTGACGTCATTACGCCCAGCGCCAAACGTGGTTCCCGGGGCACCTCCACCTGTCCGTTCATAGATCCCCCCTCGAAAAATAAATTTAAATAAAAAATCACAAATTCACTTTTCAACGTAACCCCCCCTCCGTTTGCTTGTTCTTTTCTTCCTTCCTTTTTTTTTAATTTAAAATTTCCCCCCCCTCCCTTTTGTTTATTTACTCGCGGAAATTGATGGAATATTTCTCCCATTTTGCTTCTTTGGGTCGCTGCTGGTGTTTCTCAGTGATGTGATGCTGTGCTGCTAGACTGCACTTGTCTCTCTCGACTCCCCATTAACCTGCCGGAATCATCGACGATCTGCTGTGCTGGGATCGAGTCGTCGTCGTCCACCGTGAGAAGCTACTCTGGGTTTTGGCTGGTCGTGGTGCTGAGTCGGAGCAGTAAGACTCTCCTGAGTTTCCCTCTGCTTGGTCCTTTTCTCTTTCTTCTTCTTCTTCCTGTGGAGTCGATATGTATGTATGTATGTATGTTTCGTGCATGGAGACAAAACTCGGGTCGATGGAGTTCTTGTTGATGGAAGAAGTTCGGAGTCGCAAGAACTTCGCTAGGCGATTTGGTATGTTATGGCTTTAATTTTTCCGAATGATCGTCTCTCTTGCTGGTTTTGCGTGGTGTTCTTTGTGTGCCATCCATGTTTTGATTGAAGCGTAATTAAAGTTATGAGGCGTACGATTATGTACGTACGCTTGTTGCATGCATAGCATGGGGTTTTTAGTACTTGGATCAGTGGAGAGTTATCGTGTGTATGTGGGTGTGCATATGTCTACGAGGATCAAGGAGCTATTGCCTTTTTAAGTGCATACAATGGATTTTTCGCGAGTAGGTTTCCTTTATTCTCCATGCCATGAGTTGAACAGAAATCAGTCGAGGCGATGATTTGATCCCTCCCAATTCAATTTCTGCGCTATCTTTCAGATGAATTGCTTGCTTATGTGGTTTGGTGTTTATTTAGATCAAACCGAGTGTCAATATATATCATGATTTGGTTACTAATTTAAACTTTAGTTGTATGGCAATCAATCGAATCGAAACAGATTCAGAATTGCGAACATTGAATTGGTGTGGTCTAGTGCTTGAATGACTTGAGGGGAGAATCCAATGTGAAGTGCTCTTAGCTATTCAATGTAACGTGTTTATGTGTTTAGCAGAAAATCATCTTCAACTTTTTTAAGAACTGCATTCTTTCGAGGTCCTGAGTTCTGTGCTTTCAAATTAAATGGATGTTAGGTCATACAACAGCTGCTTTTTCTTTCATCTATACAATAGCTGTTTAAGAAGGTCACACTTGCAAGTAATAAGGTTGTCTCTTAACAGTGCAATAAAATTAAAGTTCCGTTGTGATCCATGCATTTGCTTTGCTTCCAATTAGACAACGCGTGTAACATTCTTATTCTTTTTGATAGCTTAAGTGGGAGTAAAATGGCATGATTCGTATTTGGTGTTTTAGCAACAGCTTTTGATTTATGTTTTCGTTTAGGAATACCGTCGGTTTCTTCGCTTTCGGCTTTAGGAGTCATTAGTGTTGATAATTGAGTATATCATCGACTCCACATTGTTAATTCTTTTCACCAGTAGGATTGGAGATGATGTACTTTATAAAGTTTTCGAGTGCTTGATTTGAGAAATGTCATTAGCATTTCATATGTCTTGGACACGCGAGTTTTAGGATAGGAATATTTGGGATTATTCTTCAACTATTTAAAAGCTTAAAACTTGTAGATGGAAGTGTAGTTAGTACTAAATTTTTGTTGTTCATCATTCTCAATACATAAATACTCCAATACATCCTCTCACCATAGGTTGGCTTAGCACCTCGAGGCAAAGCACACAAAACTGAATTTATCTAGGGATCCAAGTGAGGAGATTCAGAGATTTGAATTATTGCTACCTTCCTCTCCAGTGTTAGTTGCGGAATATACAGGGAACTCCCACCAAGGCCACCGACCCACCTAGACCTACAAATTGATCCAAACACCGAGCCGGTTGATGAATTCAAATTGTTTAACCATCTTAAAGGACGTTGCACGAGTTTCTTATGGATCGCAAATTTTATTCTTGCATTGGAATCAGTAATTCCGTAAAGCTAAACTTTTCCCACATCTCTGCAGGAACTATTGCCGTGAATACTCTTCCGCTGGTTGCTGGTGCTAGAGTTCAGACAAGAAAGCAAGATGGAAAGAAACACGAGTAACAAACTAGAAGTAGATCCTAATTCAAATGGAGGCAGCTTGCATCCATACTATACCCACACGAGGCATCACGCTCCCTTCGTGGATATGTTGAAAAGCTTGGATGATCCGTCGGCATGGAAAAATTCAGACATCGGTTTAGGGACTAAAGTTATCGAATTACGGTCAACAGGTGTTCCAGAGGTTCGCAATGATGACAAACATAGGCATCCTGCAGAGGTATCCCAATCAGGTAATGTCACTGCGTTTGAAGAAAAAAAAAATATGGCCATTGAATTTTTACACACGGCAATTCGCTGGACAAGTCATAAAATCAAGCACATCATTTACTTGTGGCTTTAACTGTTAATGTTATTTCTCATATGCCAAGTTATTGAAGGAAAACGTTTATTGTTGCATGGCATGCTATGTCATGTTTAAAATTCAACTTCAAGTATGCACAAGCATTAGTTAAACCGCCGAATGCTATACATGTGCAATGTCTAGATGCTGAGACCTTCGAACTCTTTCCCTGTACCTGACTTCCTGTTTTATACAGGCCTGGAAAGATGGCCGTTAATATCTTTGCGGTAGACTATTAAAAATCTTGTCTCTTACTATGAGAGTGAGGAATATGGCATGAAAGTATGTTTGCGCGGATCTTGTAATGAATGTATTTGTATATTGTGTTGGTTTTTGTGCACCGACATCATAGGATTGGTTAGTTACATATTAGTGGAAACTACAATCTCCTAGAGTTATTTGCAAGTTTACAAGATAAAGCTCGTGAAATTAGTTCGCTTGGGTCGGAATGTGTTGCTTAAGAAGTCGACTTGACTTTCCTCAAATGCTTCTAGGTACTTGAGTATGTGAGTGTCTCATGGCCTTAAGGTTCTACAACGATATATTAGCTTGTCAAGTAAGAGTAAAAGGACTGTTACTGTCTTCATGATCGTATGAGCTTTTATAATTTACATGGGCAACGATGGCAGAAGTCTATAGACAAGAGCAGATACATTCAATGGATGGTGTCTCGATTCTGCTACCAACATCGACAGACTATGCTACACCTCCGTCCCAGCAAGTTTGCCTCCCGATTGTAATCTCTCTCTCTCTCTCTCTCTCTCTCTCACACACACACACACACACACACATCCATCTTGTTTGTCTGTGGGAGTAGTGGTGTGGCAATAACGTGCCTCCCATGTGTAGCACAGTGCCAGATTCATGAACTGTTAATCACACGCACCGCAATCTTCATTCCTATCAATTGAGCACTTCAATAGGCTTCTTCTAGCTGGAAGAAGTCTCCAAACATGAAATAAGGGATATTCTGGAAATAGTTATGAAAGGTTACCCCTCGTTTCTAATAAGAAACTTCCATGCAGGCATGTGGACCATATGAATATTCTGAGCAATACCATGATGGAGTTACGCCGGCATATGGACCTCAGATATCGGTAGGTGCTCCTCTTGCCAGCTGTTGAGAACATTTAGCTTAGTACTATCTTTGCCTACTATTGAGACCCTCAAAACGAGCACGAATGGCATGATACCATGATGAACAACCTTATTTTAGCTGGTTTAGTGCTACTCAACTGGTAGATATGAACTCAGACTTCAAGCCTTGAGCTGATTGTGAGAGGGCATAGAGGCTGTACGCAGATAGAGGATTACTGATGAGATTGACGATTGCACTATGTGCAGGCACGTTCTCAGTATCTCGGGGTCAATTCCTTGAGATTGGTGTTGCCTATGGCGGAGGAACCTGTTTATGTGAATGCCAAGCAGTACCATGGTATTTTGAGGCGAAGGCAGTCGCGAGCCAAGGCTGAGCTGGAGAGGAAGTTGATTAGAGCGAGAAAGGTAATTCTCCGTTGTATCCCTTTCTTTAATCGAATAGAATCTTCATCACCCTAAACAACACTATATATCCAAAACCTACCAGTATTTGCATACTTTCATGCAAGAACCCTTTTCCTTCTTTGGCCCCAAATATTATGCCATATTTGAATAGGCTCGACCTGAGTCTATAATGCAGTGAGCTTATGAATTGGAAGATTCTGTATTGCAGTTGTTTATGGTCATGATCTTAGTCAACTTTGTCTTGGTCTTACATGAATTAATTATAGTCAGAGAGGTGCAGCTTCACTAAGGAATGTGAAAGGACTTCTAGCTTAATATAGTTGTTGCAAAATTCATTTAAGTAAAGGAGAATAAAAAAAAATAAAAAATAAAAAAAAATAAAGGCATTGGAGTAACATAACAACTAGAGAAAATGGCAGCTGCCACTACCATGTAACTTGTAAAACAAGTACGGTAAACTGACTCTTTTTCTGCGACATTTGTGGTTCTTTTTACTGATCACAAACTTCTTCCGCATGGTGATGCCTTGTATTGGCTTGCCTCCCAGCCCTATCTTCACGAGTCCCGACATCTGCATGCTATGAGAAGAGCAAGAGGCTGTGGAGGCCGCTTTTTAAATACCAAGAAGCTAGACAATGCTGCAACTAATCCAACTTCTGAAGGTAGCATCGGCAGCGATTCTAGGAGAACTGGTTCAGCCAATGAATCCAATCTGTCGAGCTCCAAACCGGCACCTTCCTTGCTATCTTCGAACAAGGACCCGTCGACCAGTCTCATTAGCAAAGAAAATCTGCCTCGTGCTCAAAATGCGCTTCATACGTGGGCAAACCATAGTGGTAACTGCATCACCCGTTTCCCGAATCATACATGATTTCACTTGTCCTCGTACCTGTATCCACCGGATGATGTGCTGGAGGAGATTGCGACGGGAAACAGCTCTGAACAGCCTCTTGCAGCAGCACCATGGAAATGGAACATGATGGCACAACCCTGGGCAATCAGGTTCGCTACTCCAAGACCGTGGGAAAAACATTCGAGTTTCAAACTTTTTTCTTTCAAGCTTTGTAGCAATCGATAGTGGCATAAGGGAGGACAGCAGCATCCTGCATGCAGAGCCACAGGACTGGTTGCCTATTGGTGTGCTTCTAATGTACAGCGTAAATGACCGACCCGTCTTTTAGTCTTGTGAGAAAAGAGGCCAAAATGTTTATCGTCACTCGCGTGATCATGTTAATATCTTTGTTCGCACCAAAAGTTGACCAAGTCGTCAACATGGATAGGCTAACAGGCACGTGATTAGAGCGCAGGTCATCATTGAACACGGGAGCCATTATCGATGACTATAAGAATCATTGCCGATATTAACGTACATCGATGACCATTAATCAATTGCCAATATACGATGACGTATGGTTAGCGATAGACAGTAAAGACATTGATTAAAAAGGGTGACGCATTGCCGATTGAGGCATTCAGAGAAGGTCAAACACCTAGAGGGCATAAGGAAGCAGTTATGAATTTTCAAATTTGAAACCACCGGTGAATGAAGAAACAAAGTCGGAAGTCATGGAGTAACAAAACACGATTTTAAGGGAGCAACCGCTTGAGGACAAGATCATGACATCATGAGAGTGTGAGTACAAAATTTTTAGAGATAAGGAAGGCTATAACCGCAGAGAGATGCTCAGGGACGATTATGACACAAGCACTATAAGCACGGCGGTTTTGTCTACCGCAGGCTTGCGCTCGCGCACAAACAAACAAACAAACATGTTATTTTTCAATTATCTTTACTTTTCTGTACAATAGTTTTAGTTTATAGACTCGCATCGTCAATTAAATTCCGGCGTCATATTTTTGTGTTCTCAAGCTTTGTCGTCGATTAAATTCCGAGGCAATTTATATACATATAGTTCCATTTGAAGTAAGATTATTAATTTTCTTGTCTACCCGTGATATTTCCTGTCCGGAATCACCATAGAAACTATCTCCTCTAATAAATTCAAAGAACGATTTTCATCGAAAGATATTTAGTTGCCGAATCCAATTAACGCGAAACAATCTCGTTGTCACCTTCTAGTTCTGATGTCTGTACAAATGGTTATACTGGACTCATGTCGTAACTTGCGCCCTCCTTTTGTCTTCGGACAGCTCCTGAGTTTAGGGATTCGACCTGATCAATTATCCGTTGCCCGTAAGATTGATGGTCTGATCAAATGGTTCTTTCGGTGGCAATGAAGGCAATTTTATTCACCAGGATTCAGATTCAGGAACACTCCACTTTCTTGGCGCTGGATGCCGAGGACGTGTCTCGTGTATGAGTTGAAAGTTCAAGACCCAACGGATTAACGCACAAAATGTTGCCATTCTTATCTGACACACTACACGATACTTCACAGAAGGGAGCCCCCGAAATTGGTTTTAGCACCTTAAAAAGACCGACGACAAGCCTACAAATCATTCTCGATTTGTCACTAATCGAAGAGTCCGTGGTTTCCATCCTCGGCGTTTCGGAAATACTCTCGCGTACCATTCCTGCCTAGTCTTGCATGCTTCGAGCTCGCTCAAATAAAATTATGTTCTTCCTTTCTGCTATAGTGTCCCGGATACTGTACGACACTGCACAATCCATTATAGGTAAATTTTTTACCACAAAACTCTATGCTGTTATCGGTATCCGGACACTTTATTTATTTACCCGGTTACTTCTCAATCAATGCCATCCTGAATTGCTTCTCTCGCGCGTAACGTGTGCCTCGTCTGGTATGCTCCGGAGGAAGTGGTCGCTTCACGAGACGTGAGAAGCTGGCAGATTCACAGTCACATCCGGGGGGGCTAGTAAAGAGGAAAAAAGTTGGGGGCAATCAAACAGACCCACTTGCCCACTGAGGCCTGTCTGTGCCCCACTTGCACGATAACTTCTCTGGGTGGCGGATTCCAGTTCGAGTTGTCCTGTCGATTTCTAGGAAGCTTCCCAGTTCCATCACCGAAAGCTGTTGGCCGAATCCGATCAATGTGTTGCATTCTGAGCCTCACTCATGGCTTTGGTAAGTTGCATCATTTCTTCAAAGATCCAACGGGGATCGCCCACCCAATTGAAAACTGCATTAACGGGCCCCGTTCTTCACTAAGTATCCTCATGACATGTTGGGTTGTTGCGAATAAAGCTGCCATAAATTGTTCTAAGTAGCGATCGAGGGCTCGAAAGAGGAATTGGTATCGAAACATGGAGCGATAATGGGCTCTATGGTCGTGTTCCTATCGACTTGTGCGAGTTGGGAATGAGGACGAATGGATGGATATGTTAGTATTAGGCGCATAAACACAACCAAATAGAAAGTAAAACCGAGAAAGAGAAATTGAGACACAAGATCTTATCCTTATTCACCCTTAAACTAGGGTTACGTCCAGTAGAGGATTCCATTATATTTAGCATTTTCTACCTCTCTGTTACATCCATCAGTTACAAAAGAAAGAGATTATATATACTCAGTAGCTATTCATGGACCTAAATACAAATTATTAATAAAATACAAACCCAAATTATAAAGTTATCTAGCGTCGCGGGCCCCATTCGAACCCCGTGCCTTTTTGTCAATGGGGAATATGAACCACACCCAAACAGGATAAACTCCTATAAGCATGACGATTTCAATTTGTGGTGACTCTTTAAGATTGGGAAATTTGTTCTGATGCGTGCGTTGACCATAACGGGTTTATTGATTTGCATACCGTACTCGTTCTTAGGTGGTATCAAGCACAATCATTCCTAGATTTAATTACGATTAGAAAATCCGATATGGCAAATTATGCTCCGTCAAGAGTATGACAATTTGCTCACCGTGCACATTCTAAGGTGATATCAAATATAACAACTCGTGAGGATTAGTTCTTATACCCAGATCCATATCGGTCATTCGTACCGCTTCGAGTTCATTGGTAAAAACTAAACTGAGGGAACATGGACTAGGCGACGGCGAGTCGTTGTCCAGAACTCCATGCATTGGTGGTGTTATGCGATTTCCACGAAGCCCTTCAAAAGCGTACAAAGCGTGGTTCACAAACCATGTGGAATTGATTTGAAAGTCCTTCCAAACAGGACATGCCGCACGCGACACAACGTGAAGCTGACAGCTGCGATTGACCCCGACATCAAGTTGGACTTTTCTTGGTTCATATAAGCCAAGTCGGCAAATCCATCTGGTCAGTCCTTCAATTTGACCGGCAACCACAAGATCTGACCCACTGTACTGCCTTTGAGTCAATGTTAGAAAGTATAAACTTATAAACGAAGAGAGACCGCGCGCGTATATATATATATATTCTATAGTTAAAAGCGATGTACGATATTTTAATATCCCCTCTCACGTCAGATTATGAATGATACGTGGAATTTGACGAACGAGGTGGACACATTGGAAAAATAAATTAGGCAGAACCCGACTCCAATACTATGTTGAGATTTATGATGAAAGAGAGAGAAATGTAATATTATGTACATTAACAAATGAAGAGTAGAAGTCCTCTATATATAGGGTGAGAAGACAATTAGATTTAGGTTTCGTTCGTTTCGCGGGAAATGTGACGTTTCTGGAAAATGTTTTTCAGGAAAATGACAATATTTTTTAGTATTCGGCTAAAACGTAAAAATGAACTGAAAAATATTTTTCGTCATTTTGTATGAAAAATTCGATTTGATTTTCTTCATTGCACTCATTTTAATAATTTTTTTTATTTAAAAAAAAATCAAAATTTTAATTATTTTTATTTTAAAAATATTTTTATACTTCTTTTCTTTTTCTCTTTTTTTTTCTTTCTCTATAGGTTGACAGCCATGGCAACGGCCGGCAACCGACCTCAGGTGAGGCTCGGCCTCGCTCAGCGAGGTTCGAGGCTTTACGAGCGGCGAGCTCGCCAGAAAGGACTCGCAAGGCGGTGTTGAGGCTCGAGGCCCGAATGTCGTAGATCAGGCGAGCTCGAGCCTCACCGGCTTGTGGTGAGAAGACAATTAGATTTAGGGTTTGTTTGAAGGTATATTGTTTTCGAGAAATTATTTTTCAATTTTCCGGTGTTTGGATGCCACAAAAACATTTTTCATGGATTGAAAACAAGCTTAGATTAGAGGAAAAAGACTTCCCTTTCTAGCAAGAAGGAAATCACTTCCCTAAATCAATCACCAAACAATTGAAAACTATTTTATTTGAAAATGATTTTCATGGAAAATATTTTCCTATATCATGAAGTTTTCAATGAAATAAATACACCATTAATTATAAGGGATAATGACACAAGCAGTCCCTAAACTTTAGTCCGATGTGCAATGTGGTCCATAAACTTTTAATTTGTTTAATGTAGTCCCTAAACTTTAATCCAATAAGCAATGTGGTTCATGAACTTTTAATTTGTTCAATATGGTTCATAGACTTTTGGGATATGTTCAATTTAGTCCCTGAATGTTCAATAAGTCATGGACCACATTGAACATTGAACTATATGAAAGTGTTAAACATTTTTATATAGTTCAGGGACTAAATTAAACAAGTAACAAAAATCTGTGAATCACATTGAACAAATTAAAAGTTTATGGAATACATTGCATATTGAGCCCAAGTTCAGGAAATGTTTGTGTCATTTTCTCTAATTACAATTAACCCGATCTTGAATATAGTAATTCTATACAGTAATCCATTACATACATGCATGCATGCACACGCGCGTGCATATATATTTATATAACAAACTGGATATACACATCCTTCCAACAAAATGTGTCAATTATGTCAAGTATTCTCTAGCCTAAAGTAGGCTCTTCGTGCATGTTATTCCAAGTTCAAATCAATCATGGAATCTCTAGGCTTCAAATCCAACCCTTATGACCATGCCATTTTTGTTCGGCGCATAATTCGTGGATATATTATACTGCTATTATATATGGACGAAATAGTTATTACTGGCGATAATCATATTGGCATTTCAACAGTTAAGCAATATCTCAATCAACAGTTTGAAACGAAAGTCTTGAGCAACTCAGTTATTTTTTAGGTTTGGAGATTAATTCAAATTTCTCTAGTTATTATCTTTTTCAAGCAAATTATGTCATAGATCTTCTTTTTCGAGTTAGACTCACTAGCAACAATGTCGCTCCAATTCCAGTTGAGACAAATGCCCAATTTGATGCCAAAGATGGAGATCCTCTATTAAATCTTACACTCTATTGAGGATTGGTCTATAGTCTTATATATTTCATTGTTACTAGACCTAACATTGTTGTTGGGAGCATGCAGCAGAAACCCGGTATCTTCATTCGGGGATATCATCAAGAGAGAGCTCAAGTCCGAGCTCGTCAACATATCCAGTTAAATCCATATTCGCTCAAAAGGTTAAATCAATGAGTCATGGGACAACTATGGTGTATTAACTGTTTTAAGTCACATCAATTCTCAGAATTGAGAATCTTGTTGATAACCTAGCCTCTAATACCAGGTGGTCTTGGGTATTTCTTAACCTAAAAACTAACTCAAAAGACGAGACTTTCTCTCATGCTTATAAACTTTCCACTAGCCCCTTCCACAACCGATGTGGGATAACTTAAACAATTATCTATACTCTTCATATCATTGGTCAATACATGACCGCACCTCGACGACTCATTTTGCCGCAATCCTTCGAATTCTTTTATACGTCAAGGGTACATTATTGTATGGCCTTCACTTCTGCTCATTCTACAATGAAGTTGACTGCTTATTCTTATGATGACCGAGCTAGCAACATTCAAGATCGTTGCTCCACTGCAGCCTATTGTTTCTTTTTGGATAACTCACTTATCTCATGGTGTAACTAAAAAATGGCCGATGTTGCTCACTCTAGTATAGAAGCAAAATATTGAGCTCTTACTGATACGACATCGGAGTTATTATAGTTGCGATGAAAACTATAAGACATGAGAGTGCATCATAATAACATAATAGTCATTCATTTCAACAACTGAAGTGCTATCCAAATAGCACATGATGTTTTTTTATAAATGCACCAAAACACATTGAAATAGACTTTTATTTCATCTCTTCGTGACACTGTTCAACTTGTCTCAACTTGATCGGCCGAACAAATGTCTTTTCCAAGACACATCTACCTGGACATTTTCCGGATCTTTTCTCCAAACTCAAGGTTGAGGGGATTTTAGATATATATATATTTAATTACGGCATAGCATTACAATTTTTGTCAGAAATCTAATTGTCTTCTCACCTACATATAGGGGGATGCACAACATATTACATTTTTCTCACTCTTTCATCACCAATCTAAACTGACAATACCTCTCGTTTCCTCTAAGTCTTCTTAAATCTATTCATTACGCGTTTACATAAATGCACACTGTCAATCTAAAGTCAACAGCACGTAGAAGTCAAGAATCAAGACTACGAGTATCACAACTACAGGTCGCTTCTCAGCTGACTACTATTTTAGAGAAAGAATGCCCTGCTTTCCAATAATATCACAAGATCTTTCCCCCCAGAACAAACAACTTTCTCACTGGCGATACATCGGACCACTCATAGATAACCCAGATGCCTCGCAACTTAAAAATCATCAATGCCCATTTAGAAAAATAAATAATTTTCAGACACTCGCAAGAAACGAAGTATGCTTCTAAAAATCCCAAAGAATCTAGAAAAACTGGTCTCAGCAATTGTCCATGAACGTAAAGCTCTTATGTTCGTCAACCTTGGGCTATGATGTTAAAGAGTTAAGATAAGAGGATCTCCCAAAATCGACGTAGTTAGTAGCAAGGGCTGACGAGAATGGCAGGCACTTTGTTATCTGATCTCTTTCAACCCATCTGAAAATGAATCAATTGCATACAAGTCTAACCCCCTTGTACGGCCAGGTGCCCCGCCATTGAGACAGGAGACGTCCAACACAATCCTGCCAGACCGCAACAAGTTAGATTTCATGTCTTACAAGGATAGTCTCAAAAGCACACACGAGAGAGAGAGAGAGAGACAGAGATTTTACAGATTCTTGGATGCCTTCTCCAACTCCGGGGTTCCACAATCTATAATGATCTTATTATCCAATTTTGATACTGAATGGTCCACAGGCAGATCAATCCCTCTAGACACTGTAATAGGATTTGAACACATTAAATTCCAATTACAAAAGCAAGATAGCAAATATAGATGTTAATTGCGAAATATGAGCTGTATGAAGATGTTTTCACCTGGTTTGGGGGCTGCTCCTACACTTCCATCTAGTCCCAGGAGTTTCTACACAATAAAAAAATTTACCACAGAGGAATGCTAAACAGTCATAAGGTTGTTTGTCAATTTTCCTGAGCCAACAAAAATCTGCACGGCACAACAGAAAAAGGATGATGAAACACAAAACAGCAGAATCACCTTAAGTCTCTGATAACATTCTTCAAGTTTGTCATTATACAAAATATGGTCAAAAAGGCCCGATAATATTCCCTGTTCAAGCTCTGCCCTAGCATTTTGAAGACGCTTTAAAATCTGTTCCTCAGTTTCGGTTCCCCTGTTCAACGAATGGATTTAAACCAATATCTTGAATGCACAAGGACATGAGTGTCTTGATGTTGGTATACTAACCTGGCACGAAGTCGTTTTTCAAGCTCTGCCATTGAGGGTGGACAAATAAAGACAAAAATAGCTTCCACAGGACTTCCCCGGACGGATCTTGCCCCTTGAACATCAATGTCAAGGATGCATCTCTAAAAAGTCAAATGAAAGTTTCTGATTAAAAGACGGCAAAAAATCTCAATATAACAATCTTTGACTGGAAAATTGTGCAGATAGATTGATCACAACAAACATAAAGAATCAAGGTACCCTAAATCAACAGACAGCAAGTTCGGCAAATACATAACATCAGATGTTGCATATACCATAAAAACAAAAATTAAGAGTGGGAAAATCTCCTCTTCAACAAGGGGAGGCTGCACTGGTCAAAAAGTGACGATAGCTGTTAGATTGACTCACTACAAACAATTTTTGAGCATGGATTTGCAGAAACCTATACCTTTCCCTCATCAGCTACAACTTCAACCGCTTCAATACTAGTCCCGTAAAGATTCCCGTGGACCGATGCATACTCAAGGAACTTTCCATCTTTTATCTCTTTCTCCATGACACTTTTCTCTGTGAAATGGTAATGTTTCCCATCTTTCTCCATACCTCTTGGAGCTCTGGTCGTATGGCTTACAGAAAACCCAAACAACGATGGATATTCGTCCATAAGTTTAGATATCAGGGTACCCTTGCCCACACCAGAAGGACCACTAATCACAACTGGCTTCTCAGCTTTGCCTCTGACACCCTTACTCCAAGCGACAACCTCAGTGTTCCCACCACGCATTGTCTTCTGATCTCGGACATATTGGGTATCCAACTGTAAGAGTTCAGTCACATTAATATCTTAAGACAGAAAGAGAATCCAACAACCATAAAAGGTGCAAACAAGGAACTAGAGTTTAGGCTAAAACTGCTAAAGAACAAAAAAGCAGCAAGAGACAGACCTCAAGGAACCATGTGCAATCATCTGGGCTTGCTCCCTTCTTAATAATCAATATGCGGTCCTCATTCAGAAGTACCGCTGAATGGCCTTTGCAAGCACTCGGTTTAGTCCCCAGTACAACAGGATGAACCCTGTCAACTTAACCATCAATTACAGATCTCGACTCTTACTAAAGTAATCCTTACCCAACTCCCTGGATAGAGTTAGAAGCTCACCATTGTGCTGTTGATTTATCAAATATTCGGACACCTAGAGGTGTTGATTCCACATCAGATCCCTCGATAACATACTGAAAAGGCCAAGAAATTTTTTATTTGGTAAAACGATCCTCACATTGGAAGCCAACTGATCATATGAACAAATGTCAGGTACAAGGGGAAAATTTTAGGGAAATATAAACCCAGAGCATCATAGCATCATACTGTTTTATCCCCGACGACGGTGGCAGTCTCGCCCCCCCTCCTGGATTTTAAAGAATTTCCATTGGCAAATTCCTTCTGCAGATTCCCGTTGCAAAAAGCTGGAGCTTCGCCCTGACAACCATCAAGCAGAACACATCACATCACCGAACCGAGAAACATCATCAGATTGCATTGCCCCCGAAAACTCCTCCTCTTCTTCTCACCAACTGCTAAGCAAACTTAAACTTAGAGGGCTCACCATTGAGAATCTTGAGTCTTCACTCGAAAGAACCCCTGCTCAACAAAGCATCAAGAGAGAAAATATATCAGATACATCCGTATTTCCTGGATCTACCATTGATGCAAGCACCGGCACACGAGGCTTCAGGGAAGACAGAAAAATTTTGGCAATAGCCAAGCCATGTAAAGCACCGACCAAAAACATCGATCAAGAAGGGACCGAAACACAAAGCCCCCGCTAGCATTAACCTCGAAGATCACGGACCCCGCACCGAAGCAATATAAGACTCCGTGCAATTCACAAATCGCGACGCGAAAGACGCACATTAAAAGAGGAAAAAGGACGTAAAAGAACAGCCAAAGAAGCCACATTCACGAGCCCATTCCCTTCCCAACGCGAACCCCAAGCAACGCAAGCTCAAGAACCTCCCAAAAAAAAGAACCGAACGGGACGGACGCAAAAGAGCAGAGCGCCGAAACAAAAATCCCACCTCCAATCAAGCGAGACAAAAATCCCACAGATCACGAAACCGAATCAGGTCCCAAAGAAAACCAACAGGACAAAAACGCTTCCGCGGAACGCAAACGGAAACCTCCCATATAAGAATACCTTCGCGCGGCGGCGGCGGGCGGTGGGCGGCGGCTGCTACTACTCCGACGGAAAGCGAAGCTCGAGCCCGTCCCCAGTGGAGCCGGCGGCGACACCACCACGGGACACGCCCGAAGAGGGGGGAGGGGGAAGGAAAGGAAGGAAGGAAGAGAGAGAACCAAAACCAAAGAATGCTTCGAGAGAGAGCACGCGACGGGGGGCGCTTTGCTCGAGCCGAAGCGACCGCCGAAGTCGACACGAAACGAACGAACCCGGAGAAAAATATAATAAAAGGAATCGCGAGAAGAGGTTCGCAGGGAAAGCTTTGGGGAGCAATTCTAGTATTTGTAGGAGAGAGAGAGAGAGAGAGAAGCTGCGTGTGGGGGAAGGGAAGGAGGGGGGGTGGCGGTGCCTCTTGGTCGCATTCAATTCACGGAACAAACAAGACCGGCTTTTTCTGTTTTTAATTAATTTAATTTAATTCCGTTTGTTTTTGTTTTTGTTTTTGTTTTTGTCTTTGTCTTTTTTAAGGTTCGTGTGAGTTTCTTGTGAAGCTTCTCCATAAATTTCTTTGGCCCCCCCTTTTATTATTATTATTATTATTATTATTTTTTTTTTTGGTAATCGAGATGTCCGGGTCAGTTTGCGCGCACCTCGACTATTCCTCGGAGGAGACTAGCACAGTAATCCATCGCCATGGCCCTCTACTTAAATCACAAGCGCACCTTGACTTTTTATTTATTTATTATATTTAGTCGCTCTTTTTCTTTAATTTTTGATTTAAATTGGTATGGTGAGAGGGAGAAATTTCTATTGGGTGTGGGATTGATATTGAAAGCCACCTTTGGGAAGAATTCAACGAGGGGGGGGCGGGTGGTTTCTTGGTAGACAAATCCGCCGTGACTGATGACTATGGAAAGAAAGAGGAAGACCTTGGGCGTGTTATTTTTTTTTCAATTTGACTTGGAAAAATTGGCAAAGGGGGGCAATGGGAATCATATGCCTCCGTTCCGGTTGGGTTGTAATCCACGTCGCGTCGAATTTTCGGTGACTCGAATCTCGAGGAAAGGAAGGTGTACTTTACGATATAGATTGAGAGTTTTGTTTTCTCGATGTATATCTTTTCGCTCGTATTCTAAATTGACATGTACCATTTTATCTTACTTGTACCCTGTTAGGCGAATAGATGGGATCTCGGGATTTAAGAGAACGCCTTGGGAGCCAAAGTCGATCTGGAAGGTTGAGATGTATTTTACCGAGTTTGAGATGAGCTCGAGTCTCGACTAGCTAAGGGAGAAAAGGGTGTGCTTATGTTGCGTGCGTGTAAATGATTGAAAAATCTCAAACTATGCCTATTGTGATTCATTTACCTTTGTACCCATGCAACATATTTACCTTCCGTCGAGGTTCCCTTAGATGGTGATTTTTCGGCCAAAACAACGTCATTTTTATTCCACTTAAACCACGCGCGCGTCATGTCAACACCGTTTGCTTTCTGGAGTCCATGCAGATTGATTTTTAATAGTTTTAATCGACACACGAGTACAAATTTGGGATTTTCTGTATTGCAAAAAAAGTTTAGGTAAATATGTCACCATAGGTATACCTTAGAATTTTCGGTGGCTTGATTTACGATGAAGATTAACCGTTAGGAGAAGGTATTTGAGAAATTAAAGTGTTTACGAGGTTACTCGTGTTCGAGATCAAAGAATAGTCAACACAATGCTAAGGCAATGTTGTCTTGGTGGGTTGTGACCTAAACCCCACTTGGCAACTAGATATACCTACTTGGTCCATTCAAAGGATTGTCAAAGTTCTTCTGTTTTTTTTTTCATTATTGATCCATCAAAGTGCTGAACGGGTCAATTTCTTCCCCTTCATATTACATTCAACCCTTTTTTTTTTAATCTAATCGTACGATGTGGGTCGAGTCGATTTGAAAGAGATTGCCAAAAAAAGAAAAAGAAAGAACAAACCAAATTAATGACAAAAAGTGTGCTGACTTTAGCTTTTGCAAAATCCAAAGGCCTCCAGCTTTGCCTTTTCTGTCACGTTTTGACTGCGTTTCCCGGAAAATTCGCCAGCCAATTGGAGCCGGGCCCCCGCACTTCAGGCGGTCCGAATCTAAACATGAATTTCATGGCCCACCCACCCGGCGGTACATCAATTCCGAGAGCGATTTGAATCGTCGCTTTTGGAAAAGCCACGCTTATGGAAAAACCAAAGCCGCCGTGGGGTCGGGGATCCAACCCCGACGAATCGCTTGCCGTTCGCCGTGATCTTGCTTTAACTGATGATTCTCCGGAACCCGCGAAAGCGATTGGCCCGCCGACAGAGGAGTCGCTTCTCTTTTTGTTGCGGACGGACCTCTAAAACGGGTTGCGTTGCCCCCGGTACGGTGTGTGTCGTGTGGCGAAAACGTCCCGTTTGCCAGCGTGTCGATGAGGCATGCTTCGTGTTAGAGATGTATTTGGGATATTCTGTATGTTTTCTTCGATTGATCCCGATTTATTACTTTACATGTTGTTATGTAAAGCCTATAAATGAGCTCGTGTATTATTCACTAGTTAATCAACAGAATATTATTCTTCTCTTCATTCACAATTCTCAACTTGGTATCAGAGCTACCAGGTGCCTAGTGCACCCATGAGCCCCATCCAAGCTGCTCGTGAGTGTTCACTGAGTGCCTCGTTCCCCTTGTCATGCTATGACGTACGCGTTGCCAAGTCTAACCTTTCCCTTGGTTGTGTTACGACATCGACGACGCGTTGCCAAGTCTAACTATGTATTTTTCGATGCCGCAAATAAGCGTATTTGCATAGTAAATTTCGCTCATTATAGTCTGGCTTATTTTGCTTGCCGTAGCCACGCCAGCCATAGTAGTTGTGTTTGTTAGGTTACTGTCTCGGCAGCAAGGTCGACCGCAAAGGACGCATGTTATTTAGTTAATGGCTCCTATTATTTACTTTTCACTTTTCATTTCGAGAAGCTGACACCACCACCACACACACCACCCACCATCCACATGCGCTCTACATGTAGCCGCGCCACACATCCTCCATGCTTGACTGTGCATTGTTGTTCCACTATCTGATTTCATGTTGATCGAAGATTTTGAGATACTGTTCAGATTATTTTTCAAACTCAAGTTGAGTTGTTCCAACTCACCTTGTGTTTGAGGAGATATTAGTGCTATTAGGATCTATACTTAATTCTGCATATATATCTCATTTTTTTTTGTCGAATCATATATGTATATCATTGATTGGTTATATTTAATATTATCTTATTACCTTAAATAGTCAAATAATAAAGCATTTAAATAGGCTCTCTCTTTACAATTTTCTATATATCGAAATATACACAAATTCCCTATTTTGCATTTTTACATTTAAGTTGGCATCAAGGCTCTTGCTAATATGGCATCGAAATCATTATGGTTACAATGTCTACTAGAAGACATGAAGACATGGGAGTGCATCATGATAGTGGAACAGTCAATCATTGTGACAACAAAGTACTAGCATGATGTTTTTCATGAACGTACCAAGCACATTGAAATAAACTGTCATTTCATTTGATATCACGTTCTTCGTTACATACTGTAAATATCAAGATCCTGGTCCGGGTGGTCCGGTCATTTAAAAAATGCACATATATTTCGATCATGCATGTCCTCACGACAAGACAAACTTTTCGATGTTGGGATTGGGCGGGAAAATAAGATGTAATCTTGCCTTTGGAATCAGATACGAAAACTTAGCGCAAATTAGCATATTTCTTCTTCGTCTAAGGGAATAAATGAAACCTGCTAATTTTGGATTTTGTTCGAATAGCCTTTCACCTTTTGACCGATGAATGGCTTTGTGATTTCTTTTTTCTTAGTAAGACATTTGATTCACTCTCTTATTGATGACTGCAAAAAAAAATTAAAATTTATTCCGCAATATCACGAAAACGCTTATGTGGAATCCGTTCATATCACTCATATTCTCTTTTCCTTTCGTCGTTCACAAATCAATATCGGTATACCATTCCTTATAACCCTTTAAATCGCCACCGTCCTCCTGGATTTTTTCTTCCCGATGCGGTCATTTTGCAAGTCCCCTTGTACGAGGGAATAGCATCAAATCCCCATATGCCAACACGAGTCGCAACTAGCCATGTAGCCAACTCATGAAACTAGGGCTTTGTGAAGAACACACCGCTAAAATTAAGAATACAATTCCTAACGCAACGGTTATTCTAGTGATATGCGTAATCGATACCTTAAAAAGATACCTTGTGAGTGCTGCTCTCTTCATAGTCCACGATAGGACAACCATATTGGGCTTTTGGCCTAACCAATATAGGATTCACTTTCTAAAACCTCTCTGTCTTGGGCTCTGTCTTCAACATGAATTTCATGGCCTCCCCCGGGACATCAATTCGGAGCAATTTGAATCCACTTTCGGAAAAGCCACGCTATGGAAAGAAAGGGCGTCGTGGGGTCGGAATCCAACCCCGACCGATCGCTCCGCCGCTCGCCATGTTTTTTTGCCTCTCGCCTTAACCAGTAATTCCGGAACCCGCGAAAGTGATTGGCCCACCGACAAAGGAGTCGCTTCTCTTTCGTCGTGAGAGTGCGAGCTCGATTCGTGTCGCGAACGGCCCCCCAAAATGGCTCGTGCTGTGTTGCTTAGTTGCGGCACGTGCTGTGCGGGGAAAGCGTCCCGTTAGCTAGCGTGTCGATAATATTGCAGGGACGACCTCGCCGAGCATACTTCGAAACTAGTTTGAATTGGTCTGGACCTAAGGGTAGACTCGATCGTAGGCATTCACCAAAGGGACTCGTAGGTTTGTCACGACGCCCGACCCAACTCCAAGATCCCGGTCCGATCATTTAAAAAGTGATAAGCAGACTGAAAGTCCTAAAATTTGTTATGAAAGTAACTGAAATTCTACAACTTTCAAAAAGCCAAGTCAATTGGGGCTTATAAAACTTGGCACAACACGCCAATTAAAATTTCATTAACTTTGTTCAACTTGGCTAATTGAAAAACAATGACATGACTGTTTTTTTTTTTTTCTCTCTTACGTGATGATGACATGATTAAAACATGAAACATAAGGCTAAAACGACATTGTTTTGGTCATAATCTGATTGTCAATAAAAGTTTATTTAAATTATATTAAAAAATAATTTTTAAAAAAAAAAAGCTATTTAAAAAGAGAAAAAAAAAAAGGAAAAAGCTAGCCGCCGCCGCCCCACCATTGCCAGGTAAGGGGTGGCGATGGTGAGAAGGAGTCGGCGGGGTC